CCCCCCCCCCTCCAAGGAATTGCAATGAAACCAACTGCAGGTTGATCGGAAAGCTCAGCGGAAGTGACCTCGAAAACGAGGGCGGCGCTCGGCTGTGTCTCAAAGTAGCTCAGTTTGCGGGTACCGACTTGAGCTCGTTTATGACCAACACGCGTAAAGGAACCGCGTGCCTGTGTGTTAGCAGAGCGAGAAAGGCCAGGGCACCTTGTCTGTGGCTTCGCGCTTCGCGCCCTCTCCCTCTCGCCTCTTCCCTCTCGCTTCCCCCTCCTCACTCTTGTCGTGCTCCCGCCGTGACGATCAGTTCGTCCCTACACATTAGTAGCCCCCCCCCCCCTTTTCTCCTTTCTCCCGCCCACCCCAGACTTACTGCCTTGTGTGGCTGGCGAGCCTTGGAGTGCCTGACGGGTTGGCCGACTCGCATCCCGCATGGCACGGCGGTGAGGCGGGCTGGCCTACCTGCTTTGCCTCCCTGGCATGTCGCGCGCGGACACACGAAACACACATCTCAGCTTGTCTTACGTAACGCATTGGAGCCATTCGTCTGGAATGCGGCGAATGCGGCCGAATGTGAAGCTTTGGCCTCGTCGGCCTGTTGTCTCTGCCGTCCGCCCCTCCGAGCCCCCGCCACCCCCGCCACTCGCGCGGCCCTCACGAGTGGCCTGCTAGGCATGCTCCACTACCCGGCGAGGCTGCAGTGTACATCCAGAGTGTCCAGTGGCTCCAAGTCGCCTAGGCCCGGAGTCGCGTACCTGCTGGACAGCTTCTGATTTTCCGAGTAATTGCATAGGAATAATGGGCGGAATGCCTTTGGGCTCATGCAATGCAATTACCTGCTGGCAAAACCAACCCGCAGCCGCTGCTCAGAGCGCCTGGCAGGTTCGCAACCCAGTTAATAAACTCCGTGTTTGCCGAGCTGCCTACGACGGCGGGTGACTTTGGCCGAGGGTTGGGATGGGGGTGGACGTCGGGGTTCTCGCCGCGGTCGCCTTGACCTCGAGATGCAAGCCGAGTTCTGGGACTGGTGTGATGACCTCGGTATCAGAGGAGGCGTGCGCTGCAGCCGCCTGGACCACGTCTTCCATACCGCGGCCGGGGAGCCAGATCTCGGAGAAGACATCTTGTTGAAGTTCATCTTGGTGTCCAATGCCACCGACGACGCCGTCGCCGGCCTCTAGAGGGGCGCTGGCCGCGAAGGCAGGCTTTGACGTCGCTGTCGGCCTACAGCGCCAGCAGAAGCGGCGAGCACCGCCCCGGCCGCCCCGCACACTGACTCCCGCCTACGCGACCCGGACCTCACCCAGGGACTCGCGTATAGTACTCGCGCAGTACCCGCACGCTCAGTAGATCGTCTCTTTCAGTTCAGGTGAGGGCGCTGCGACGGTGTACCGACGAA